TGAATTATGTTCTTTATTCTCATGTACTATTTGTGCTGACGTTCTATTTTCTTGTGTTTTATCTTTTATTAGATGTCTGCGATTGCGGCGATACACCATTCCTCTTTTAGTTTTTAATAAAATATGAGCGGGGAGTCGCCGCTTTTGCAATGATATGACCTGGAATTTTAGAATTATTTTTTTCTATCATAGTCACCTTATCGCCGACATCCAATACAGGTAAAGGCTTGGCACGTAAATCATAATACATTTTGTATTTATTTTGTTTATCTAGCATAACTTTGTGTTGACTCTCATTATTTACATGTCCTATTTTTAAAAGGTCTGGGTGCACTGGTAGCCTGCATTTTAACCTACGACCCATCAGCAGCTGTGCGGGAGAATTCAAATTATCGCGAGGCGTATTTCGATAACTTAGCAAATTTAAATAAAAGTCACTTCCACTATCTATGGATTTTTTTAATATCTTTTTTATTGTTTGCACGGCTCTTTCACTCTTACCATTTGATTGTGCGTAATTGAGTGATGAAGTTATGTGTTCAAATCCCCACTCCACCGCAAAGTTTTTAAATTCACGACTTGAAAATTGTGGACCATTATCGCTTATTGCAATGTCTGGTATCCCATATCTAGCAAAATTTTCTCTCAGTACGTTTATGACGCTTTTAGAAGTAGTTTCATGTAACAATGCTACTTCCGTAAAACATGAATAATAGTCCACAATAATCAGATATGATTTTTTACCATACTGAAATATGTCCGTCCCGATTTTACTCCATGGTAAATTTGGAATAGAAACAGCAATCATCGGTTCCTTACTCGAGTTATTTGAATTCTCTCGACACACTACATACCTATTTACATATTTCTCTCTATATCGTAAGAAATCCCTGGCCAGAATAGCACTTCACGTGCGCGCCTTTTACAGCGGTCTATCCCTAAATGTCCATCATATATAATTTTTTACATTTCGGTTCTTAAGGAACTGGGAATCAATATTTGTTTGTTTTTAAATATAACGCCATCTACACAAAATAAATCTCCTCTCATAGACCAATAATATATTAAATTATCTTCAATATCACGTTTATATTCCGGCCAACCCTGATTTATATATCTCATTAAAAGTTTTAAGTTATTATCTTTCAAAGTCTCATTTTTAATTACACTTAATTTGTTTATGTGAAACGGGCATGTTAGAAACTACCATATGTACTTGACATAATACATTATCACTCACTTTATCATTATATAGTTCTGGAATAGGAGCACGTGATAATGTATCGGCCAAGTACATACATTTTCCAGGCTTATATGTAACTATCAAATCATAACATTGTAATCGTAAAATGATTCGCTATAAGCGTGCTGGTATCGAATCTAAGGGCTTTTTAAAAATGCTTTCTAACGGTTTATGATCTGTTTCAATTAAAACATCACTTTTATCGTAAATATATTGGTGGAACTTTTCACACGCAAAGAGAATAGCTAGCATTTCTTTTTCTATCTGCGCATATCGTGTCTGTGCGTGAAGTATATTCAATAGGTCGGCCGCCCTGCAACAGCACGGCTCCTAGCGCTACACTGCTCGCGTCCACCGAAACTACAGCCGGTTGCGATACGTCATATAAAGCCAACACGGGTGATTTGCTTATTAAATCTTTTAATAAATCAAGCGCATTCTGTTGTTCACTCTCCCAACACCATTCTGTGTCCTTTTTCAATAATCGAGTAAGCGGATAAATGCGCTTAGAATACTTAGGTATAAACTTAGATAAATAATTTACGGCTCCTAAAAATCGTTCTAATGATTTTCGTTCTTTTGGAGTTGGCATATTTTTTATTGCTTTTACTTTTTCTAAATCTGGTTTCATCCCGTTTTTGTTAAATATATGACCCAAGTAAGTCACTTCCTCAACACATATACGACATTTATCTTTATTAAATTTTAAATTAATTTCACGAGCCCTATTTAATAATGCATTTAAACGCCTATCATGTTCGTCTTTATTTCGTCCCCAGCATATTATATCGTCTATAAAAGAATCTACTCCATCTAAATCCTCTATTAATTGCTTAATTCTTAGCATGAAACACCTCTGAAGCGCAGTTTAACCCATAAGGTAATCTTAAATACTGATAGCGCCCAAACGGTGTACTAAAGGTGCATAAGTCTGAACTCTGATCATCAAGTTTTATTGCCCAAAAACCTGAATTTGCGTCTAATACTGAAAAAAAAACTAGCTCCGTGAATTTTAGTGGCAAGTTCCTTGATGGTTGGCAGTTGGAAATGTGCACGCTGTATAGCATTATTAAGAGGTCTCGGGTCTAAGCAAATTCGCAATGTTCCATTCTTTTTTGCTGCAATTACTATTGAATTAACCCATTGTGTTGGGTGAGTGACCTTTCTAATGACTCCTAAGTCAGTCATCCTGTTTAATTCTTCTAATAATTTATCACGTAATCCTAGAGGTACTTTTCGCGGAGCACAAGCTACAGGTTTAACTGATTTATCAATAACTATATGGTACTCACCAGGTAAGCATCCTAAGCCTTCAAAAAAGATCCGAATTTTCTACCAAATTAATGCCGTAAACCCGTTGAATTAACCCTAGTTCCGAACACGCTTGTCGACCCAGCACACTTTCACAATTAAGATTTGCTATTGCAAATTTTAAAACATACATTTTACTTTTATGCCACCATTTAAGAGACAAACTCCTCTTATCGGAATAACATCTCCGCTAAACGACTGTAATTTCATTTTATTATTATTGCATATCATTTCCGTGTCAAACCCCAGCGTTAAAAATCTCTTATAACATAACACATTAATGTCGGCACCGGTATCCAGCTTAAAACGTTCAAAGCCTCTTAATACCTCGTCGCCGCGCCGCCGGCCGCGCCCGCCGCTGCGTCCGCCACCTGCCGGACTGCCGAAGCTACCTGTTTCCATCACACGCTTGCTGTCTGTTGACATTTCATCAGCTTGACATATTTTAATTGCTTTCTCCAGAGTCAATTCATCTGTCCGTAACAACCGGTCCCTTACAATTGTGCTCCTTATGCCGCACACAATACGGTCGCGAATCAACTCTTGCTCTAAATTTTTAAATTCACAGTTTTTACTGAGTAACTTTAACGCTGTTACATATTGATCAATAGATTCTCCAGTTTCTTGATACCTCGAAAAAAAATTATATGTCAGTAATGTTATATTAGATTGAACACCGAAATACTCGTCACATTTTTTCATCAATATTTCGATGTCCTCACGCTGCTCTTCTGAATCGATTGTAAAAGTCTCATAAACATCAAATCCATCTGATCCAATCAGATTAATGAGCAAACTCGCCTGTATGCTTCCCTCTTCTTTGTGCACCCCCGATGCTTTAAGAAAAAGATTGAATTGTGCCTTCCACCGCTTCCATGCCTCGTCAGCCCGGCCGACGGGGCTGCCATCTAAACTCAATTCGGTTGGCGGTCTTGCATGCTCCATCCTTTACACTTAATTTAGAATACAAATAAACGTTATTCAAACGTAAAATCCAAAACTATTTAGGTATTTTAACCGCTGCCACCATGTAGTGACAGTGAAACAACAGAGTTCAGATGACAACTGTTTTATTAATAAAGGCGGTTTTTTAATATATAATATTTTAAGACTACCCACAACAACTACTGGCCATATAAGAAAGCTAAAAGTCGGAAAGGGTTATGCTCGGGGTTTTTCTGCATGACAAACTTAAGATTGAGGATATCCGCAGTAGAACTAGAGTGACCGACAAAGCCCAATGGTTTTGTAATGGTTTCGTAAGCTGAAGTGGCTATGGGCTGGCCATATATGGCCCTTCTTCCCCATCGTTTATCGATTCTGCGAGTTATAACTCGCAGAACCGATAAACGATGGGGAAGAAGAAGGGTTCTCGATTGGCAGCCTCATACCAGCAGGCGAAATGTAGGAAATCACCTTAATAGATGGAGTGACGACCTGGTTAAGACATGCAGGAATTCGATGGATACAGATCGTTCAGGACAGTGCTTTTCGGCATTACTTGGCGGAGGCCTGTATCCAGCAGTGGACTTATGAAGGGCTATTATGATGATAGTGATGATGTTTTATACTCCACACAATAAACTGTTTTAAAGATTTCAGGAGCTACGAGCTACGATTGGTAATTCTCTATAGTCTCCTTCTATCTACCAGACTTTGATTCTGTCAAATTCTTTTACTTTTTTTACTAACTTCGGATAACATTACAAAGAGAAACAACTTCGATGAGGCGATAAATAGCCTCCAAAAGAATTAGGCGATTCCCGTCCACAGAGTTTCTGTAGTAGACACGCGAATGAACTAATATAGTATACTTAAAACTTACACTTATAGATATACTTAAAACAAAATGCATAAATTTTTATTGATCGATTTATCGATTAATTAATATAGACCGTAAATGCGTACAACATGAGACTCGAAGGTAAACTGAGACTAAACTTCCATGGCATATATTATTACATGTAGTATCATTATTATTTTGGCAACACTGACAGTTCAGTTTCAAATTTGTTGTGTGAGGTTCCATACTTGCTGTCGTGAAGGATTTTTTACCAGGTAAGTAGTATTTTTTGAGAAATAGACATTAATTTGTTTGTGAAATATATTGTTTTACTACATATACCTCAGTACTCTGACAATTGACTAATAAGTACTGTGATTTAAATCGATTAATCAATCCCATCTTGTGAAGCATGTTCCCATAGACAAAAAAACTCCATGTTTTAGACTATTTGTTAAATGTTGCCAGAATAAATTTAAAATTTCCTCAAACTGGACGCATTTTATTTTTATGATGGAAAATTGAGACCATGTCTCAAATTAGGTGCTTATGAGTCAAATTAGGTGCATATGTCTCAAATTTTATTCAAATCGTTAGTGGTTTAATTTCAAGTAATTATGATAATTATTTATGATACATTATTTTTTTTTTGTTCCAGTAATTATGTCTTCGCGAAGACGAAGAGTTCTCGGGGCGAAACCCTACCGAAATTATAGTGAGGACACTTTGAAAGCTGCTATGGCAGCATTTGACACTGGCATGACTTTGAGGGAAGCGGAAGAAAAATTTAAAATACCTCGAGCAACTTTAAATAGAAAACACCGAAGGCTACAATTAAAGAAAGTCGGCCGTCCTAAAGTTTTCAGTGAAGCTCTGGAGGAAGTCTTTGTGCAATCAATCATTACAGCTGCTGCTTGGGGATATCCACTATCAGGTTTAGACCTATCTTTACTCGTGAAATCACATCTAGATAGACTAGGTCTAAATGAGACACGTTTCAAAGGTAACTTACCGGGACGATATTGGCTGGAAGGTTTTCTACGGCGCCATAAAAGCACTTTATCTGTAAGGCTCTCAGAAAATATTAAACGCCAAAGAGCTGGAGTTACGCAGGAGACATTAAAATCATACTTCCAAGAATTAAAAACCACCTTGGAGGATGTAGATCCGGCCGCAATAGTAAATTTTGACGAGACTAATATGTCTGATGACCCGGGACGCCAGAAAGTGTTGGTACGCCGAGGTCTCAAGCATGCTCATAAAATCATTGACTTATCAAAATCAAGTACCTCCGTAATGTTTGCTGGGACAGCGTCAGCTGTTCTGCTTCCACCGTACGTCGTTTATAAAGCGGAACATTTATATAATACTTGGACGGAAGGAGGACCTCCAAATACAGTTTACAACCGATCTCGGAGTGGATGGTTTGACACTACATTATTTGAGGATTGGTTTTTGAAGGTCATTATTCCTTATGTTGAATCGTTTAATGGCAGAGGACCCGTGGTTATAACTGGTGACAATCTGAGTAGTCATTTTTCATTAGATGTGATACAAAAGTGTACTGACTATAATATTAAATTTCTTTGTTTACCGGCAAATAGTACGGGGTTGTGCCAACCCCTCGATGTAGCAGTGTTTCGACCATTAAAAATAAAATGGAGGTCTGTTCTGCTGTCTTGGAAGGAAAAAAATAGAGGAGTAATGCCGAAGCATGTTTTTCCGAGGCTTTTGAAGCAAACTCTGGATAATATAGAAAATATGGGAAAAAATTTGAAGTCCGGATTTGAAGCAGCTGGGATATATCCAATTAATGAAAAAAGAGTCTTAGATAGATTGCCTACACAGGAAGATCCAGAAATCCATAATAATGCATCTCAGCAATGGTTACAAACGTTTAAAATGTATCTCGAAGATATGCGAACAAAAGAATGCAGCACAGCCCCGAAGAAAAAGAAAGTGGCAATTATTCCAGGTAAAGGTGTAACAGTGGAGGACTTATCCGAATCATTAAAGACTAAGACGAAACGTAATAAAACGAAAAAACAAAAAAAAGATCGTCGATGATGAAAGCACTTCCTGCAGTGATTTAGGATAATGGAGGGAAGCAGTTTTGAATACTGCAAACTCATCATCCGATGACAATAATGAGTTCGACATAGTGTTTTTTGATGATGTTCATGACATGTTTCCTGATGATGATGAACGATCGGCGTCACCACTTATAACTAACATCCCACATAATGAGAACCAAGAAAATGAAGATCCACTCAATGTAGACCAATCGGTCTATACTGACGAACAATTTAAAGTTTCTGTACCTAGTGATGGTGGTGCTGGTTGCTCTAAAGATATCGATACAGAAATTGTAAATAATTCGGAGATTTCACCAGATTCTTTTGTTGTTGTCGAATTACTCTACAATGAGAATACGAAAAAAACAAACTGAAAAGAAGTTTATTGCTCAAGTTACGAACATGGTTAGCGACGGAAAAGTGACCTGTCGCTTCATGAGATGTTTTTCAGCTACAAAGGGTATTTACATATTTCCAGCAGTGGATGACATGATGACAATTGACAGTTCTCGAATAATAAATACAATTAAGCCCACTCAAGTGAAAAGGGGAAAATACATTTTTAATATTAATATTTAATTATAAGACTAATAAAATTGTGTAAAATAATATTTTTGTGCGTACTTCAAAGCGTAGGTATGCCTAGGTATAGCCTATGTATCGCAATAAAACGTTCCTAATAGCTTAGACTCCAATTTTGATCTCAATGTTTAAAATTTATTATAAGTTGCAAATGTTATTAATTTACTTAGTGTTAAGGGCTAATTTGAGACATGTGGGCAAATTGAGATCTCAAATTACCTTCGGTCTCAAAATCGAGATTTATGTTGATTTATTTTTTGACGATTTATGAAGAAGTTTGTTTTTTGTTTTTGATTTTATATAATTTTTATTTGATTTTTGAAGAACTAGTAAAAGATCTGGTAAGATTTGGAGATAATATTTTGTTTTATTTAATACCTCTAGTTATAACTGATTTATTATTGTTTTAATTTGCGCAAATTCAATATTTTGTTATTTTTTAACGTCTCAATTAACAAACATTGAAATTCTACATGGGAAACCATGACTTTTATAAGGTGTCTTATGTTACCGCATGTTGCAGGTAAATTGAGACAAGACGAAATAAATATATATAAAAAAACTACATTGATTGGCTCAATATTGCAATATGCTCCTATTACCTTAGATAAAATTTCAAACCATAATTATTAAGAATTACACCTTATACTGTGAATTGAAATTTAAACCTGTCTCATGTTGTATGCATTTACGGATTCATTAATAGATATACCAATCTTAAAAATTTAGATATGTATATTATATAATTTGCACTACAAAACTATTATTATATAGGTTATCCTAAAATCTTGATTTTGTTAAAAATCTTTTTTCCCTCTTTATTTGGATTACCCCAGATGACAAACAACACTAACAAAAATTTAACTCCAGCATCATTCATCCTCTTACTTGCGATTCATCCTCTTACAGGTAACCAAAACTTACATAAATAGCGAAGTGGTTTATTTTAAAATGAATTCACTTTTGTAAAAAAATATTATGAGTGTTTTAATTGGATAATTATTATTTTGCGTGTCTTTATTAGAATGTTATTTACGCGGAAAAAAACTAGCTTGGTTGCACAATACACTAAAATTGATAAATATATAAATTTTCGTGTATTGTCATGATACGTGGTAGTACTCCTTTCTTAATCAGGATTCTATCTGGGTATTTACCATCCTCATACTTGCTTCTGCTGCCAAATGGCAGTATTTGCACTGTTTTGTTTCGATCCGAAGGTTAATATAATTACATTACATTTTAGTCCTCATTGATGATAACGAATCTGTTACTTTCTTTGTATGAAGTTGGCTGAAGTTGTCCATGATATGCGGTATCTATTTACAATCTGGTAGACTACAAGTTTCTTTGTCACTTTAATTTTGAAAATCTAGATTCTCATATAATTTTATTAATCCAATAGCATCTGGGTTGGCCCCTGGGAAAAACTGTCTAGTTAACTTAAAAGCTTAAAACGCTGTAGGCTGCAACATATACACGATAATAGAAACTAATTTTTATAAATAAGTTCATTTAAATTTTAATAAAAAATCAGCAAGTCTTTCGCCGTAAGCTATCGCAGTTGCAGCAGTATTTCCGCGAGGTAGGTAAGGCACCGCAGACGCATCCGCTACGCGTAAATTTTTAATACCAATTACTCGCAGTTCCTCGTCTAGCACTTTCCCCAGTGCTGCTGTACCTACTGCGTGGTACACTGAAAACGTCATGTGTCTCGAATAACATTGCCAATATTCATTTCCATCTAAGTCTTTACAACCAGATAAGTTCAGACGAAGGAGAGACGCATTCTGTTGCTTAAATGGTGGTGTTTCCAAAATGTCTTCAATGATGTTGATAGATCGCACCATTTCGTTTACATCTGCATCAGATTGTAAATAGTTTGGTGTTATAGCTGGTGCGACAAGTGGGTTGGCACTTGCTAGACGTACAGTTCCCCGTGACGCTGGTTGAAGTACCACTGGAGACGTTACTATGAACGCATATTTTTTATTTGTTTCAACTAATTGATCCAACACGTCATTATTAAACTGAAGCCCACGTGATATGAACCGCCTACCTACATTTAACAGTGACCTTGGTATGAACGCGTGTATGAACTGTAAAGTTGGTAACTCACACTCAGCGCTGGTATTGGCTAGCCGTTTCTTGTAAAAATCGTAACATTTTGTATTGACGAACGCCGTTACGTCAGTGAGACCATTTGACGCCAAAGAGCCGTTATGAGTCGTCAACCATTTAGCACGTGCTGCTCCTTGAGTCACTAAATTATATAGAGCTGAATGTTTTTCTACATCACTGTCGACCTTAATAAAAAGCAAAGGTAACACGTGGTCACTCATATCACCTCCTACATTCAAGTTTATCCGTACCGGTATCTCAAAATGACGTAAATGATCAGCCGGTCCTATACCAGAAAGCATTAATATTTGGGGTGTCCCAATGGAACCCGCTGATAGAATAACTTCTTTTCTTGCTTTCAAACTTAAGGAAGAGCCTAAAAACTTTACTGTGACGCCTTTCGCTACTCGATTCTGATCTATTATGACCCCAGTACAAAACGTATTTTTAGCAAGTTTTAAGTTTTTCTTGACATCCTTCCTAGTGAGATATGCTCTCGCAGTGCTGACGCGTTCACCACCAGACACGTAGCCTAGAATAACGCTAACTCCAATCTGACTTAAAGCATTGATATCCTCGTTGTACGGAAAATTTAAACTATTATATCCTTGGATGATTTTCTCATGCCAATCATTTTTCGGGTCTTCGAAAAATCCAACATGAACTAAACCCTCAGTGTTATGGTAGGGTTTGGAAGATAACGGAAGACGATCTAAGTCCTCCAATCCTTCATATTTTAAAAAGTATGGTTTCATATCTTCCCAAGTCCAGCCCGTAATATTTAATCTATCGAAGTCATTGGGATTGCCTCGTGTGTACATCATGTAGTTAATACTCGTGGAACCACCTAAGCATTTGCCACGACTGAAGCGGCACTGCCGGTCGATCGAAGAGAGACAGGATACATTATTCGGAATGGTTTTGTAGTTCCAGTCAAGTCTACTACCCATTAGTGTCATTGTGGCGCCAGGAATCTGTCGTAAAATAAAATAATATTAAATTACTTAGTTTGAGGAAATTTAAATTTCAAACGTTATGTGAGAGCAAAAGATTAATCTACGCATCTTTAGATTTGTGGAGGGCTGTAATGATGGTGATAATAATGATGATATAATATCGCTAGGTGCTAAATGTTTACCCTTGTAGCCAAGGTAGGATTTCCTCCAGCCTCTATTAACAACACGTCCTCTCCCGCCATTGCAAGTCGACTCGCCACAGCTGTACCTGCTGCGCCCGCCCCAACTACTATGTAATCGAACTCTTGGCCATCTGTAAAACAAGAAGAAATAATCAGGAAGACTTCAAGCAGCAAACCGTTGAATCCCTGATTTTTAAGTGCTAGTAGCAGCCGTGTAATGGCGGTTATGAATATTGACTACCCTATATCTTCCCGTGGGTGTTGTAAAACGCGACGGAGGGGAAAAGGCGGAGATAGGCAGCAGCATCTTTCTGATAACAGCAATGGTACAACAAAAAACCGCGATTGTCAACCCGCTCGCGAAGCATAGCAACTGTGGCAATATGCCCCCCATGAACAATGACATAAAGAAATGTGTCCCAATCCCCGGCGGCTCCACTATTCCTGGCTACGGTGGCGATCATGGTAACAGTGGGGCAGGAGGCGCTAAGAATCTCGGGTAAAGGTTCGGTTGCCACCTAAGACGAATCGAACTGACAACAAACACCGCACAACCCTAAGGACTAACAAGAAGATCCGGGAGCTGGAAGTAAAGATAGACGAGTTGTAATATTATAGGATTATCCGAGGTTCGAAGAAAGGGAGAAGACACGTTGAATCTCGAATCCGGCAACTTTTTCTTTCACCGGAAGGGTGACCATCTGTCCCAAGTAGGCGTTGACTTTATCGTCCACAATTGTCTCGTTAACAACATTGTAGACATTTGGAGTTTGTCGACGAGGTTTGCGTACCTTGTACTCAAAATCACCAAACGGAATACCGTTCGGTGATTCGCTGAAGGCCATACAGGTTTACGCACCAATTTTGGCACATCTCGGCAAGGAGGTGGAGAAAATGTATGATAATATCTCTAGCTACGCATTTATCCAAAGCTGAAGGCAGGCTGCAGCTGCAGCTGAAGGTAGGGAAATTCGAAATAGGGCAACAGAAACTGAAGGAACAGCAGCTTGCCGACTTTATGAAGAAAAAGAGACTCTTTCTGATGAACTCTTTCTTTCAGAAGCTGCCCCACAAAAAATGGACTTCTGTGAAGTTAGAGAGGTCATGTCTAATTAAAGTCAACGCTCAGTCACCCTCCTGCTCTCTGTTTAGTTAGAGAGGTCATGTCTAATTAAAGTTAACGCTCAGTCACCCTCCTGCTCTTAAACGAATTCAAAAGCCCCGAAAACCCGAAAACTCGAGTCGTTTCGTTTCCGAGACACCTGAGATTTTTAGTGAGATTGAAGGGTTCTATTAGGAGCTATACACATCATCGTTGGAGTCACACGCAAGTATGAGTAGCGATCCAAGAGCAAGTCTTATCCGACATTATCCCGATATATGCTATATATATATATATATATAATATATAAAATATATATATATATATATATATATATATATATATATATATACTCGATATACCCTGGACGTCAGTCTAAACGAGATTTGAATGGCTCTCCAGCACCTTAAAATTGAGAGGGGCCCAGGCGAGGATAGAATAACATCGAAGCTTCTAAAACCGGTAATTGTAATCTTTCAGAAGCTCTTCAATTCTGTCCTCCATGGTGGTACTACTCCGGAGGCGTGAAACAGACGTGCGTTAGTCTAGGCGACAACGCTCTCTTGAAGAACACAGACCAATTTCCCTTCTGAACCGCGTCTAAGTGCTGTTTTCAAGAGTCATTATATCCAGCCTCCCGACCAAGCCAATTTGCGAAAAGACTTCAGTACCACATACACACCCTGCGGCAGATTGAAGAGTACACTATGCCACTTTGCCTTGCGTATGTGGACTAAGAAAAAGCCGGTATATCGAAGTGCTAAAGTTTTTGTACAATAACGCTATGATGGATATCCGAGTACAGAACCAGAGTACAATACCCCTCCAACTGCAGAGAGGTGTAAGATAGGGTGGCGTAATATCCCAGAAACTCTTAACCGCTGCATTGGAAGAAGTTTTCAAGCTACTTGACTGGAAAGGATACGGTATTAATATCAATGGCAAATACATCACTCACCTTCGATTTGTCACCGATATATACAGTATGGCAGGATCGCTGGAGGACCTAAGCACTATGCTCAATGACTTCAATAGTGTCTCCCAACGGAGAGGTCTTAAGACGAACACGGACAAGACAAAGGTTATGTTCAATGTCCAGCTCACACCTATGCCGGTAGTTGTTGGGAGCACTAAGCTCGGAGTTATTGACGAGTACGTTTACCTGGGACAAATAGTCCGACTAGGTAAGTTCAACATCGACCGAGAGGTCAATTGACGAATTCAACTCGACTAGGCAGCGTTTGGTAATTACGACACACCTTTTCGTCAGGTATACCCCAAAATCTGATAGCTAGATTGTAAAACTAGTGCGTGTTGCCTGTGAATACTTATGGACATGAGAGGTGGTCGTGGATTGTGAAGACTGTGAGGGGTTGAGAGGGCTGTGCTCGGAGATTCTCTGCGTGATAAATTTATAAATGAGAATTTCCGCTGTAGAACCAGAGTGACTGGCATAGGCCAATGGATAAGTAAGCTGAAGTGGCAATGGGTCGGCCATATACCTCGAAGAATCACCAACAGATCGGGAAAAAAAGTTCACGAGTGGCAGTCTCGTACCGGTAGGCTGGAGTGGAGTTGTGGAGCTGCTATGACATGCAGAAAGTCAATGGATACAGGTGGCTTAGGACAGTGCTTTGTGAAATTCCTTGAAGGAGGCCTATGTTTATCAGTGGACCTATGTAGGGCTTTAATGATTATGATGAGTGGAACATATATCTACGCGGCTGGCGCTTAAGTCATGCATAAGATAAAAAAAATAATATTTTAAACCTATCCGGGCGAACGCCCTGGCATGGCAGCGTAGGATAACCCACTATCCTATATTATCCTGTAAGTGTCGTAAGAGAAGAAAGAGATAAAATAAAGTAGGAGTAATATAGTAACAATTCATTAAGATACAGGTTTTGGTCATGAATAATATAACATTTATAATCTTACACCAGAAGCACCAAATATTATATAGCCCATAAGCATGAACTGTATAGTAAACTAAAGTGGCAATGGGTCGGCCATATAGCCTGAAGAACGATGGGGAAGATAGGTTCTCAAGTGACCGCTTCGTACCGTCAAGCGAAGTGTAGGGCGTCCACACACAATATAAAAACATCAACAGAATCTAGGGATATTTTATTTTTCATCAAAAATCCAAAAATCTATGAGAAATTTTCTAGAAGATATAGTAAACAGAAGAATGATAGTTCATTTTAAGGTATTTAACGAAAAATAACGTAATTTTTTTGTTTTAACTAAAAACATTATTTTTTTAACCGCCGTAGAAAATTAGGGTGATTATAAAAAACTACATTTCTTCTTTTACTAAAACTATTAATTTTAATTAAAATTGAAAAAAAAATGTTATCTAATTACTAATAATAAGTTTTGCCAGCTCTTACATTTATTACACATCAACATCGATTGTTCATACTTAAAGGTAAATTGTCAATGTCTGGCTTCGGTATGAGGTCTTATGTTCTTTGCAAGTGTTGTTCTGTGTACGTTTTTTTATTTTTTTTATTTACGTTTTAGTATTTCGAAAATAGAATAAAAGAGGTTATATGTAAACATTTTATGGAAACTCTAAAGATTTTATACTTTAAAGGCGCAAATAATTTAGGATTGAGGTACCCTTGGATTCTTAAGGTACTCTCTGAATAGATATGCAGGAGGAAGCTCAGGACCGTGCTTTGTGTTTTGTCTTGGAGGAGATCTATTTTCAGCCGTGGACTTGTGAAGGGCTGTAATAATGATGACGATGACGAGGCATGGAAGAAAGTCTTAGCTAATGGTTTAATAAGCGCAGTGTTGGTACGCTTGAATTGTTAATCTTGTTTTCAATCATTAGTGCGATTTAGGTTCACAATTTTTAACTTTACTAATTTGTCGCAAATATTTGGTCAGAGCGACATATGTGTCAACAAGCTTTTTTCCCCACTTCAATCTGTATCACTTGTAAGTCATGCAAATAATTTTGTAAGAATATAATATACTCGTATATAATATAATACTCACTGAAAGGTACTATTCCCAAAGGTAAGGTACCTAGTTCCAAGCCAGGAAGTGGATCTTTTCCCTCAGATAAGATGAAGAATATGTTTATTACCAACCAGGTCAAAGGAACTGAAATTATTAATAAAAGTTACTGATTAACTTGCTATGATATATGAAAACACTAAAAGGTCTTAACCTGTGATATTACCACTGTTTTTATGATAATTTAAATATATATAATTTTTACAAAAATCCAATATTTTACCCACATTAATAAAATATTATAAAACATTTTGCTACTTTATTTGAAGTACAATTATCTTACAATAGTACTGCAAGAGTGTGGTAGAGATAATAAAGGATTTGGCGACATGTAAAAGATATCGCATTTATATAACAGAACAGCTTGAATTTTTATTAAAATTCGTCCCTTATGTCACAAATAAAACAAATAATTACTTTATGAACGCCAGAAAAATATTTGCTGAGCAAATAATAAGTTTCAATTCTGATAATATACATGGAAACAAGGCCACTGTGTCAACTCAAAGAAACTGCCAATCAAGCTCGTTCGCATTATTAGATACGGACGCTACTGATGTAAAAAGGATTATAATGGTACTGAAAACAAAAACAAGCGCAGTTGATTGATATCAGACCAACATTAACTCATATTTTCAGATATCTAAAAGAAGCATATTCACTCATACAGCACAGTCAAATCAGTTACTCGATTTCAAAGTGTCAGTGATTCTTTCATGGGGCGATGTATACGTTTTTTAAAGAAAGCCCAGAAAATACTAGGCTGCACTAAAAGTATCGGGAATGGAATATTTCCACTGTTCCTGTCATATTAAAATCTTTTTAAATTTAAAACTTCTTGGTTTTAAAAATCGAATAACATTTATTTATTTAAAAAAAGATTCTCGGTGTTGTCACAAGGTTTTGTCAAACTTGTTTAGTCGTTGAGAAAATGGAATTGACTCGAGAAAATTCAAGAGCGATGATTTATTATGACTTTCGAAGTAGCTTAACACAAAAACAGTGTGTTGACCGGATGATTTCTGCATTTAGTGATGAAGCCCCATCCAAAATCACAATTTATCGCTAGTTTGCTGAATTTCAACGTGGACGTGTCAAGCTCAGTGATGATCCCCGTCAAGGTCGTCCAAAAACTGCAGTCACCCAAAAAAACGTTAATGCTGTGCGTAAGCTGATTGAGGAAGATCGACATGTGACATACCGCGAAATTCAAGCAACTTTAGACATTGGCATGAGTCAAATACAAATAATCTTGAATGAACAATTAGGTGTAAAAAAGTTGTTTTCCCGATGGATACCGCATTCGCTCTGTGAAGAGCAAAAAGCGGCTCGCGTTACTTGGTGCGTCAGAACTCTCGAAAAATTCCACGCAGGATCCTCAAATGCTGTATACAACATCGTATCAGGTGACGAATCCTGGATATATGCGTACGAACCCGAAACAAAAAACCAGTCACGAGTTAGGGTGTTCGAAAATGAGTTAAAGCCAACAAAAATTGTTCGTTCACGGAGTGTTGCAAAAAAAATGGTGGCCACGTTTGTCTCCAAAACCGGCCATGTTACGACTATTCCTCTTGAATGACAAATAACGGTTAATGCAGAATGGTATGCTAGCATTTGTTTGCCACAGGTCGTTTCTGAACTCCGTAAAGAGAACTGCAACCGCCACATCATCCCCCATCACGACAATGCGAGTTCTCACACCGCACACAGAACAAAGGAGTTTTTAGAGCAAGAAAACATAGAATTATTAGACAATCCACCGTACAGCCCCAACCTAAGCCCTAATGATTTCTATACTTTCCCTAAAATAAAGAATAAATTGCGTGGACAGAGATTTTCATCACCTGAATAAGCTGTGGACGCCTACAAAACGGCCATTTTGGAGACCCCAACTTCCGAATGGAATGGTTGCTTCAATGATTGGTTCCATAAAAAAATCGAAAAGCAATAAATACATTTTTAAATAGTAATGTTGTGTCACTTCCTTGATTCCCGAAATTTTCAGTGCCGCCCTCGTATACGCAGGACTTATCTATCAAAAAGTTTATTAAGCAAAAATTGTTTAGTGAGTATTATTTACTACTGAAGAGAACATATTTGATAATAAACCCTGAGAATGAGGTGATCGCTACCCTGCAGCTATCGAATATTTTCATGCTACGAGCAATTGAATATAATAAATATTTTATATTGTTAATGTTTTTTTCAAAACAGTCCCGCTGTGTTTCGTGCTGGTTCTTCCCAGGACAGAGGATTTTCCGAAGACCACTTTGGTAAAGCTTAAATGACACTCAATAAGTATTCTCGTAATATATTATGTTGAATACAAAATGATTCTATTCTATTTAACGGGCTAGTAATAAATAAGAAAAACTAGCTTCGCATGATTGGAAGCTGGGTCCCTGCTTCGATGATAATAAGAGATATTAGGCTATCATCATAAAAGCAACCACTTACCTTTACAATTTCCCATTTTCTGTATGACAAGACTTTACTAGAAGAAATAACTTTATTGCACGATTCACTAAAAGTATATATTTGGACTCTAGTTTTAGAGTTGAAATATAATTACAGAAATTTAAACCATTAATATCAAAGACTGTGCCATCACTCATCTGATTTAGATTTCTCTGGGTTATTTGTGTACTGTATTTATAGTTAGATCACTTTTGAAATCCTATTATTAATTATCGTCTCATTAAATTGTTCGGTCATTATCTTCGTCCTCGCTTTGGATTTCCTACGGAAACTCAACCTTTTTGCCTCTGGGGACAAACGTTCATGAGGATTAAGAAATGCGGAATTTTTCTCTTCTACGCGGAACAAATAAAATTTGTTATAAGTATCAGTCTCTCATTAGCAATAATACCTTTTCAAAGAAATTATTCGAGTTACAAATGCTAAAAATCAAAGAAATTATGGCGATTTGGCTAAAGAATGAAAAGGGGAGATCTCTCGCCGGGCCCGGTGATGAGCCTTGCCATAGCCAGGAATATTGTGGCCGAAGGATGTTTGCCATAGTTGCCACACTTGACAAGCAGGTTGGCAGTTTTCTTTGTGGTTTCAGTGTTATTAGAAAAATTCTTCTGTTTTAAAAAAAATCCATATTTATTTTAAATCAATTTTAGCTACTTCTAGATAAAATGGTTGTGGAGATTTTAAAATAAATGTTTTAAAATAATATAACAAAATTTTTTATACTATTGCAAACGCATAGCTTCAAATGACACATTAGGGAACCTACCAGGAAAAAATCTTACATACGAATAGATCATGATCGGCAATGTGTCTGATCCTATAATTAAAATACGCCATCTTAGATTATCAGACTGTAATAAAACCAGTCACTAGAGGCCACAATAATAGAAAATTCTAAAACAGTAAAATCCTGAAAATATAAAAAATATGACTCCCTACAAAGTATTTCATGGTCGGAAGTCTACAATAAAAAGATGTAAATAAAGCATTTGAAGTGTTTCATGATCTGCATAAGTAATTTTACAACTTTAATCGAAGAAATTACTTTTGCTTTCCAATGGAATAAGTAAAAATAACAATAAATCATAAAACACAAAATTTGTTAGGTTTTGCAAGCTAGATGGGTGCTTTTGCACCCATCTAGCTTGCAAAACTAAGCGTAATCTAAGATTTCAATATTAAAAAAGCATGCCTGAACATGCAGTATTACTTCGACGCAACTGCTTATCATCAGATCTCGGGTTTGAATTCCGGTGAAGTTCTCGCAGTCTGGGCTCAGGAATTTATCGGTGTTACGGTTCACCCCGTGCCTTGAATAGCACGTAAAGCTGTTGGTCCTGCGCCTGATCTCAGTCCGGTCGTGTCGAATTACCGTCACATCGGACTATGAAAGTGAGGGAATAGAGAGTGCTGCTGTACTTGCGCATACACTTGGGCAAAATAGTCGTGCATTGCGCGGATTGCTATTCACCGTTGAGACTGGTTGCCGTTAATACAATTTGGTCTGGAGGACCTTATTATTACTCAGATATTGCCTCTTAAGGAGTACATTCTAAAAATATCATTATATTACCTAATAGAGACCCGACCCTCGCCTGGATAGGATTTAATAATCCGGTGTTCTTGTGATGTAAGATAAGCAAAGACCATTCAATTTATAAGTTTTTCGTATTTGTAAAAAAAAACTTTAAGTATTTTGAATTCGATGATGAATCTCACCGTCATCCTTCACAGCTAGCTTCCGTGGGCAAATCTTTGTTACAGAGAACACAAGGGATATTTGACATCAAACATCGGGCTGCCGAGCTTCAGCATATCAAGTATGTTCTGCACGAAAACGAGCCGGCTACAGTCGAGCAAGAGGGCCTGCTTTACTGCTATATGTCAGAGATATTACAGACAAGATTGGCTAAATCTTAAAGCGAGCTCCTATTAGGAAAATCTATAAGCCGGTGAAGAAGAATAGCCAGTTCTTACCATTCGTCAAGTATAATATACCTCTACAAGATGCAGGAGTGTACAAGCTTTATTGTGAATGTGTTCTCTCATATATAGCGCAAACAAAAAGATCTATTACAACCCGCGTAAAGGAACAGCAAACACCTAGCCTGTGCCACCTAGGCTCTGCACAAAAACAAGTTTAGGGTCCAGCACCTACGTCACAGTGACCGAGTGAATCCGGCCACAGTCAATCGAGAGTGCCTGCTGTACTGCCATATGTCAGAAATGTTACAGACAAGTTTGGTTACATCTTGAAGCAAGCTTCTATTAGAATAATTTACAAGCCGACAAAGAGGAATAGTCGGTAATTACCATCCGTCAAGTATAATATACAGCCATATGTCACAGACAAGATTGGCTACATTTTGAAGCGAGCTTCTATTATAACAATCTACAAACCATCGATGAAGAATAGTCAGTTTTTACCATCCGTCAGGTACAATATACCTCTAAAAATGCAGGAGTGTACAAGTTTGATTGTGAATGTGATCTCTCATATAGGGCAAACCAAACTATCTATAAAAATCCGCGTAAAACAACACATAGCTGACGTGTAACACGAACGCTCCGGGAAGTCTGCAGTTTGTAATCATACCCAAGACAGTTTCTGCCAAACCAAAAAATAATAAAACGCAACAAAATCCGTAAAAGTAGTTTTATACATTGTACTATTATACATAGTATATTATATAATATAATGTGTTCGAGTAAATATAAGAAATCATAATGGTTATTTATGTCTTAATATCATGCAAATACTCTCCTAAGCTTAATAGAAGCCAATTATTTCAATATTACAGAAAGACACTTCAGTTTTATATAAATGTATAGATAAGTAAAAGTAAACTACAAAAAAAAATTGAAGGCGACTTTGTCATAGTCGAGTTTAAGTTTTATTTATTTAATATTTTACTCAATAAGGATTGTCGATGAAGGCGAAAACAATATAAATAAATAGTTAACGGTTCCACTGTCCATATTATTAGAAAAGAGTATTTAGAACTTTTTTAACATCATTTCTAGAGATATGCTCTGGCTATAATGAAGTGTGCATTACCAGATATGAAGTCAAAAATTTTCACTTACATTCACCTTAAAAGTTTCGTAATACGAGAACAAGCAAAGTTCAAACCAACGGTTAAGTCCACCGTCGAATTCGAACTCATAGCACACGTTAGACAAAATTTTAAATGTTAATCTTTTCAACTATTAAAACACGATAGTTTTAATAGTTGAAAAGATTAACATTTAAAATTTTGTTTGAAAGAATACAATGTTCAAATGGTCACTAGGTTTATCATTACCATCCATTTACCATCTAGGTAGGACTGATTTTCTGCGTAAGAGTCCGTCTGGGTATTTATGCCGACAAATAGCAATGCGTGAACTACTGTTCCGGTCTGAAGGCTGTGGAGAACCAGTTTAATTACATGTTGTGAGGTACTCTATCGTGGCCATTTTTGTTTGAAGTTAGTTGCAGATGTCCGCAAGCAGCAGTAGCCTTTAACAATCGTTTATCACTTAAGTTTTTATTAAAAATATAAATAATAATATTTTTGTATAATGATAAAAATATGTAGATAAGATATTATGATAAAAAATATAATATAACAGCAGCGGAATCCTAATGTCGGTTAAAGGCGCCTCGGCCAATTTAAATAATGCCATTTGTACAATGGGTAATTAATAACATTGTTCCCAATCAATTACGCGTAAATAGTTATCAAGGAAGGCTTTGATACAGACAACTTCTATTGTAATTTAATTTGTTGCAATCAATCTCTTGGCGGAATTTTAAAAAATTTCCTTGTTTTTAAGAACAAAGTTATTAATTTTACGTAAGTAAGGAATATAAGAACAGCAACGACGATTGAAAATCGTGTTTTTTTTTAATATCTCTATTTATTTTTTCTTCTTTGTGGTTTCAATTTTTTTCTTTCTTTCATTCTTTTTCTTTGATGGGAAGCGTATGCTGTGGTCTATAGAACACACACACACACACACACACACACACACACACACACACACACACACACACACACACACACACACACACACACACACACACACACACACACACACACACACACACACACACACACACACACACACACACACACACACACATACACACACACACACACATTAAGGATAATTATAATATCTTCGAATAAATATCAAAATGTTGATACTTCACCCCTGAAGACTTTATGAAATGATTACATTGAAAGGTTCATACTTTGCTGCCTTTAGGGATAAATTTAAACAGTGGTTCCATTCTTGAGATCTAGACCCTTATACTGCGTAACACGCAGGCAAATAATAAAAATAAATTATGTGCAGTTCACACTCGATAGAGGTGAAACCTTCAGAAAACTACACTTCGAGAGAATGAGACGAATGTAAAGTATCGGAAGTAGGATAATTGTAGGGTTTATTTATTACAAGCTGTGACAGCGACTCCGTTCGCGTGGAATCAGTGTTTCTGTCATGACATCACTAATAAATCATCATGGTGAGTGATTATTTATTATTATAGATTATTAAGATTACTTTGAAACAAGTTGATAATTAAATTATAAACGGTTCATTCAATCATTTCCGAGTTACAAGAACTATGAAGAATAAATATTATAAATATGAATAAAAATTAAAAATGTACAAAATAAGAAAATGCCTAAAGTCATAAGTTACGAAAACGTATGAGTAACTTAATAATTCAAAAATATATTAAATTATTTTAAAAATGACAAAATTATTGAAATTTTGAAACCATATTGTAAAAAATCATCGCAAATTGTTCGTAAGCAATCTTGTTGATTAAACAAAAGTTACATAATCTAATGTCATAAGGAAGCATTTGCGGAGAATTCGGTCGAAGGAGTCGTGTTCAGTGTTTTTAATTTTCCAATCTATAAGAGACGTTCTATCGGTTGTAATCGGTGGACTTTGTGATCATTTTCATTGTCACCTTTATTCTATATAAAAGTGTTT